GGCAGGCACACAAACACACATGAGAATGCTCTTCTGTTTCACTTTTCTGGAATTCTATGATTTTTGTTTTCATAACATGCTTCAGAAAAGCAGCCCAGCACAGAATTGCAGGCCCAAGTATGTTTGAGAGGGACCATCTCTGCCATGGCCTAAGGGTCAAGTTGCCTCTGCTTCAGAGCAGGCATGTGCTAAGCCTTCCTATATTTTAAATGGATAATGCCCTTGTAATTTGGAAGCACTTACATCGGAGGCGGGCTTTGTCCTTTTTTTTTTCAGAATGTCTGTCCCCGTATCCTTTGCTGAGATGAAAAAGAAATACTGTATCTTTAAATGAGGCGGCGCTGAATCAGGAGCGGGCAGGGAAAAGGCTAATGCGCTGTGGAAAAGAAGGAGTTTAATCTAATTTAGTTGGAGGGTGTCTGTCTGCGGTGTTGTTTTTTGGAGTGTGGGAATAGAGGAGGGAAGCTGCCCCCTTGAATGGTCCCCCCTGCGCCAGAAGCAGTGGGGAGCCCCGTAGACGCCAGTGATCCAAAGCCGGGCCTTGAAAGGGGGATTAGAGACATGCTCTGATTTGCAATTCACGCTAATGCACCCCGTGGAACCTTTGGTAATATTTCAAACCACATTTCAAGAGACGTGGCCTTAGAATAGCTGCCTAAATTGTACCAGAGTGCCATAGTCCACACCAGTCATTCATTTTATGAAGTGGGTGCTTTTCTGTTTGTCCCTTCCCCACCCCCAACCAACAGCTCACAATTAGTGCTTTTAGGTGTAATCAAAACCTTTGCGCCTGCTGAATTTGCTGCAACTTGCATTGGTTCTCTGGTGGCACAAACAGTGTGTTTTTCTTAAGGAAGGGATCCCTTTGGATGACTAAAGGTATTTTCCTTGAAGGAAAATCTGGGATGGGGAAAAGAGCATGCCTACTTGGTTAAAAAATAGAATTTTCCGTGCCTTTTTTTTTAACCTGATGATAAATTTCTGCAGAAATGTAACAGAAGATGAGCACAGGGAAAATTGTGCCTGTTGGTATCAGAGACCCCCCCCCGCCCCCGCATATCAGGCAATTACTAGCACATGGATCACACTTCATTCTCCTTGGAAAGCAGAATGGGAGAAGACCTTGACAACATACATACAAGGATGACATTGCAAGACAGAAGAAGGGACACAATGCTCACCTCACCAATCACCAAACCTAAATGTGCCGGGAGGGGTTATCTGGGGCAGCTCCTGAACCAAATAACCTGTATTTTACACTGTTTCCTTTCTTTTCACAAGCTTTGCTGATATTCCACGTTTACTCTTGCTTTTAGCCTGTAACGTGCTAAGTCTATGGGCTTAATTTCTTCCTATTACTGAAAGTGTCCCCTCTTTTTATCTTAAAGAGATTATGTGGGTTTTCTGTAATCTCATTTCAGAAAATCTGGCACACTACTTACATTTTCCGCTGATGACAGCATAATAAGAAGAGATACAACCTTGATTTTTAGCAATATCCATGTCAAAGTTTTATACTTGGCGCTTTGCTAGAGTGGAATGAAGCATCCAAAAATATTTAGCTTTCATTCAAAATATTGCCTGACTCCTGAAATATTCCCTTTTGAAAACCTTATGCTTTTCTGGAGGAACGTTTGCAAGAACTTGAAAGTAGCTAATGTTTAAGAGTAGCTCTCCGATATATATATATATATATATATATATATTTTTTTTTTAGGTGGTTGGGGTAAAATAAAATATTCCTTGTCCCTGCACGTTATTTGAAATCATGTTTAATTATTAAGTTTCATTAAAAACCTTTGCTCCAAATTTTAGAGGCCTAATAAGATTTCCATTAATTTAAACATATCACTATTCCCACAACAGCTCCAAATGCTTTCTTTTCCCTCTTTCATCCATGGTTAAATATGTAAATAAAATGTCTAAAGTCATTCTTCAAAGAAGACAAAAGAAAAAAGAGCTGAGGGGAAAGACAGCCATAAAATTCCTCCCAATTCTCCATAACATTTGCCAGAGGGGGGCCAGTCGCCAGCCAGGGCTGAGCAGCAGGGGACCCCGCTGCTCCTTAGAATCACACATCTCAAATCCCACACACAGGAAAAAAAATAAAATAAAATATCTTTTCAGCTGGAGCCATCAAAAGGGCTTTTTCATTTATTAGTTACAGAGTTATCTTGCAGTTGCTCATTTCTCAGAGCTTTAGTTTTTCTATAGTAATGTCTATTTGTTGGTTTCCATTCTCAGCTGGGCAAAGGGAAGCACTTCTGCAGACATTTTTATAAAAACGAAAGAAGAAAGCAATCTGAAGTGGTTATAGCTAAAATAATGGGTCTGAACATGGCTGAATTAAAATAGCACATAAAAGATCAATTAGGAGGCACTTTCTCCAATAGCTCACAACCAGCTCCTGGTGTTTGGAGCTCTCTCTTCCTCTTTCACAGTTACATTACCAATAGTTTCTGAGCAGCGGAAACAAAAAGGGAAAGAAGGAAAACGGTGCCAATGACAGACCTTAGCAAGGAAAATTCCAGAAAAGCCAAGTGATGGCCACTGCACTGAAACTTTCTTAACTTAAAGGTTTTGAAAATAACTCACTAGACTAAAAAAAGAACAACCAAAAACTGAAACCAGAACAAAAAAAACTACCATAAGATAAATGACATTCTTTTTAAAAAGCATGATTTTTCACTCAGAAAATAACATAGTTGAAGGTGGTTGTTCTGACTTGGTTTTTCTTAGGCATTAGCTAGCATCTACCATCTTTTCCACCTTCTCCCTTACCCAACTTCAGCCAACACCCTGCACTGAGATCCAGGGACAGTGATTCAGCGCTTGGTGCAAAAGCCTGCTCTTAGTTCTGGAGGTCTGGGCAACTCCCAGCCTCAGTCTTCTGGATAAGTGTTTGCTGGCTGGCTGGCTGGCTGGCTGGCTGGATGGATGGATGGATGGATGGATGGATGAATGGATCAATAAGTGGGTATGTGAGAGCTCCCAAATTCCTTACAGATGTAAAATCCTGTAACTTGTTTTAAGTAGAGCCAATATTTGAAAAAGCCTTCTCAGAGCAAGTGCCCCACTTCTAACACCATTTCCAAGAAGCTTCCCAGCAGACAAAGAATGCCTGGCAGTAGCTGCTTCTCCCTAGAGGTAGCTGACAAAACCCACAGAGTCTCCCCCTGGAGGGATTCATCCAGCTTCTCCAAAACCCGAGGGAAGGGGCTAAGGCTGAGGCCCCAACGCTGACTCCCACACATCTCTCCAGGGTTAACCTCAGAAAGGGAGGAGGGGGAAGATGGCCATGTGCACAGTGCCTGCTCCTCTGACCTCTCCTTCCACCCAGGAAAGTCCCCCAACTGGCCCCTCTGTACGTGATCCTGAGAGTTTCAGAGGAACTTAAAAATATCTGACCCCGAGGGAGTCTAAGAGTAGGGAGACCCGGGCCCTCCAAGGGCACTGCTTATTTAAGGGTTAATTAGGGATGCACTGTGAAGCGCTTTGCATATTCTTCAGAGGAGGCGGGAGTAGATGTGGGCGCCCACCGCGCACGTCCTGGGAGGTAGAGAGGCGAGGGAGCAATGTGCCCTAAGTGACTTTACCACAGACTGGCCCCACTCCAAGGGAGGTGAGCTGAGGGCGTCTAGCCAGGATATTTCTTTGCCACTTTTAAGGAAACTGGCGTGCGCGCCTCCGCCTCCTTGGGAGTTGGGGACCCTCGACGCGAGCTGTCGCAGCCGCCCTCCACCCCCGGACTCTACAGCATCTTCCAGGTTTGCAGCCAAGGAGGGCGCAGGCCGGGCAAATCGCTCGCCAAATAATATAAATACCTCACAAGCGAATAACTTCCTATAATAAATAAACTCAGCAGCCTAGAAGAAATCTCCAGCCCTCGTTGGCGCGAGGCCCCGGCTCCGCGACTTTGTTGGCGGCGGGCGTCATTACACCCAGCCGAGCCCCACTTCCAGCGGAGGGACCGGAGCCCCAGGAAGCTGCCCACCCCCAACCTCCCCTTCCGAGCGGCCCTAAAATCTGGATCTCCTCCCCCGCCCTCGGCGTTTGAAATTTCAAAGCCTTCCCACTGCCCCCAGCGCCGGAGCCAGAGCCGGGCTCAGGCCTGGAGACTCCGCGGCCTCGGGGCCAGGCGGGCAGGTTTACAAGCCGAGGGGGCACTTTATGGCCGAGGCTGTAAAACGCAAATCCCACCTCGCTTTCAAAGCGCCCTCGCCGGGACCCGCCATAAAAACCAGGGAAGATGCGCCCCAGCCCCCTGCCGCGGACCACCCCACCCGCTTCACCGGCAGCTCTGCGAACTCCTGCTCACCCCGACGCCCCGGGACTCCCCGGGAAGCGGCGCAGGCGGGGAGGCAGCGAGAGGCAAAGTTGGAGGCTCGCCGAGAGGGGCGCGGGGGCGACGGGCAGCCCGGGGCAGAGCTACCCGGGGGACGGCGCTGCGCCCCGCGGGCCGGGGAGCGGCGGGAGCGACTGCCGGGCCCGGCTTTCTCATGCAAAGCGGCGGCGGGGCGGGGCGGGGCGCGCGCCCGGGGGCGGGGCCTGTCACCACTCGGCGCTCCTCTCTGCCTTTTTGCGCGTCTCCTCATCCCGGGACGCCACCCTCGGAACAGCTGCCACTGGGCCCGCGAGCAGGCGCGGGCAGGGAGGTGCCGCCGGAGCCGTCCGGCCACCGAGCGCCCGCGCCGCCGGCCCCTCCGACGCGCCTCCCGGGCGCTCCCAGAAGAGGCCAAACTTTGCAGCTCGCGCCCTCGCCCGCCGCGGCGCCAAGAGCTTGGGCTGCGCCAGCTTCCCGGTATTGTTCGCCAACTTCGCTCGTCTCCTCCGCTGCCCCCGGCCCAGCGCCGGCGAGCGAGGGCAGCAGAGCCGGGGCACCGTGCGCCCGGCGCGGCCAGGCTGGGCGGGCATGGGCAGGGGCCCGAGCGGGGCCGGGGAGCCGGGGCCTGCAGCCCGCGCCCGGGAACGGCGGCTCTGAGCGGAGCGGACCTCCCCGCCAGCCGGGGCGCCTCCGACGCCAGCATGCCGCGCCCGGGCCCCCGCTTGTGGCTGCTCCTGCAGGTGATGGGGTCGTGTGCCGCTATCAGCTCCATGGACATGGAGCGCCCGGGTGACGGCAAGTGCCAGCCCATCGAGATCCCGATGTGCAAGGACATTGGCTACAACAGGACCCGCATGCCCAACCTGATGGGCCACGAGAACCAACGCGAGGCCGCCATCCAGTTGCACGAGTTCGCGCCGCTGGTGGAGTACGGCTGCCACAGCCACCTCCGCTTCTTCCTGTGCTCGCTGTACGCACCCATGTGCACCGAGCAGGTCTCCACCCCCATCCCCGCCTGCCGGGTCATGTGCGAGCAGGCCCGGCTCAAGTGCTCGCCCATCATGGAGCAGTTCAATTTCAAGTGGCCGGACTCGCTGGACTGCAGCAAGCTCCCCAACAAGAACGACCCCAACTACCTGTGCATGGAGGCGCCCAACAATGGCACGGACGAGCCCTCCCGGGGCTCGGGCCTGTTCCCGCCGCTCTTCAGGCCCCAGCGGCCGCACGGGGCGCAGGAGCACCCGCTGAGGGACGGTGCCCCCGGGCGCACTGGCTGCGACAACCCTGGCAAGTTTCACCGCGTGGAGAAGAGCGCGTCATGCGCGCCGCTCTGCACGCGCGGTGTGGACGTGTATTGGAGCCGCGACGACAAGCGCTTCGCCGTGGTCTGGCTGGCGGTGTGGGCCGTGCTGTGCTTTTTCTCCAGCGCCTTCACCGTGCTCACCTTCCTCATCGACCCTGCGCGCTTCAGGTACCCCGAGCGCCCCATCATCTTCCTCTCCATGTGCTACTGCGTCTATTCAGTGGGCTACATCATCCGCCTCTTCGCGGGCGCCGAGAGCATTGCCTGTGACCGGGACAGTGGGCAGCTCTATGTCATCCAGGAGGGCCTGGAGAGCACGGGCTGCACACTGGTCTTCCTGGTGCTCTACTACTTTGGCATGGCCAGCTCACTCTGGTGGGTCATCCTCACACTCACCTGGTTCCTAGCTGCGGGCAAGAAGTGGGGCCACGAGGCCATCGAGGCCAACAGCAGCTACTTCCACCTGGCGGCCTGGGCCATCCCAGCCGTAAAGACCATCCTGATCTTGGTGATGCGCAGGGTGGCGGGAGATGAGCTCACCGGCATCTGCTACGTGGGCAGCATGGATGTCAACGCCCTCACTGGCTTTGTGCTCATCCCGCTGGCCTGCTACCTCGTCCTGGGCACTTCCTTCATCCTTTCGGGCTTCGTGGCCCTTTTCCACATCCGGAGGGTGATGAAAACTGGTGGGGAGAACACGGACAAGCTGGAGAAGCTCATGGTGAGGATTGGGGTCTTCTCCGTGCTCCACACCGTGCCAGCCACCTGTGTGATCGCCTGCTACTTCTACGAGCGCCTCAATGTGGACTACTGGAAACTCCTGGCCATGCAGCATAAGTGCAGCGTGAACAACCAGACCAAAAACTTGGACTGTCTGATGGCCACCTCCATCCCCGCGGTAGAGATCTTCATGGTGAAGATTTTCATGCTGCTGGTGGTGGGCATCACCAGTGGTATGTGGGTCTGGACGTCCAAAACTCTGCAGTCCTGGCAGGATGTGTGCAGCCGCAGGTTCAAAAGGAGGAGCCGGAGGAAACCGGCCAGCGTGATCACCAACAGTGGGATTTACAAAAAAGCCCAACACCACCCAAAAACCCATCTTGGGAAATACGATATCCCTGCCCCACCTCCCACCTGTGTGTGAATCAGCTTGGAGAGACAACTTTCCCAGAGAGAACACAGTGGTTACCAGAGCCAGACCATGGCTTATTGGTATTTTTTAAATAAAAGTAAAAGAAAAAAATTTAAGCTTTTGCCCTGCAATTCAGAATGCTGTGATACACTGAAAGTAAAAATGTACTTAAAGGGTTTTGGGTAGTTTTGTTTATGTTCCCAGTGAAGGAGAGCTCCTCTGTTAAGTAGCCTTCTTGTGTAACTGATTTGTGGTAAAGTAGTGGATTCAGCCCCCAGAAGAAAACTTTTGTTTAGAACCTTCCATAAATATACGCATCTGTGTGTCTGAGCTGGCTTTGTTGCCCATTTACAGATCGGAGAAGAGATCACTTCTTTGCAAGTTAAAGAGCCTTTGCTGGGTTGCAGACAGAGAAATAGAGAGAGAGAGAGAGAGAGAGGCAGGCAGAGGGTCTCTAGCAAGTGAGCCATGGCAGGGGCCCCCCTCAGGAGGGTTGCCTGTAAGACAGTGGCTTCTGTGCAAACAGGAAGAAAGAGAGACCTGACAGCTCAGCACACCCCAAAGTCACTTAAAATAGACTCCAGCCTCTAGCCTCTGCAAACTATCTTTCTCCAAGACAGAAACTTCCCCCAAACTCACATTAGTCAATGCAAACGATGTGCAATACGTTTTTCCCCCCTTTCCATGAAAATAAAAAGAGAAACAAGTATTTTGCTGTACATAAAGACAACAAAAGGAATCTCCTAACAAAAGAACTGAGGCCCGCCCTCAAAAACCCTTTAGTGTTACATTTTGCGGCTTTTTAATGGAAACCAAGCCAATGTTATACACGTTTGGACTGATTTGTGGAAAGGGGTTGGGGGAAGGGGAGAAGGATCATTCAAAAGTACTGAGGGCTTATTGACTCTTTCTATTGTTAAACAAATGGTTTCCATGAATGGATCAAGAAGCACTAGACAAACTCCAGTTTATTCTCTTTACCATGCCCAGAAAGAGTGGTCCTGCTTGTCCATATTTGTAATATATGATATTTTTCATGCTCCACTATTTTATTAAAAATAAAATACGATCTTTAGTTTGGTGCTGGCCCCTTGTGTGTTGTGAGGTTTCCCCTGCCCTGTGTGTGGAGGGATAGAGAAAACTTTCTCCCTCTTTGCTTTTCAGGCAAACCCTGAGTGTGCATCTCTATCTAGAGATTACAGTTATCCATAAGAAATGGCAGATGGGCAGATTCTAAGGTTGGCAAATTGATTTAATTTTGAGTTTCAGAGGAATTACATGCAGGAAATGTGTAAGGCTGGAAATCGTTTCTGTGACATTTGGTAGCTGGATGTGTAGGCTTGGCTGTAGACACATTTCCTCAAGGAGCACCTTGGCTACCGTGCATGGAGAAATGCCTGAGCTGGACCAGCCCCCAGTAATATCTCTGGAGACTGGAGCCAGTCAATTAAGTGAATTCTATCAAAGAAAGTAGTGTTCAGTTGACCTGGTGGGATCAAATTGTACTAGAAAGAACTGTCCATCAGTCCAAAGTGTGCTGACTTTGCAGCATCTTTAGCACATGTTGACAAAATAGATTATAGATGTGGACAGGCTAAAATATCTGCTGAGGGTGGCAAGTCATTAAGGAGAAGTTAATCAGCTTTCTACTTTTTTGTACTTGATTCTTCTCCTGTGTTTGCCGACAGAGTTATGTAGCTGTAAAAGACCTGAAGCGGGCCCCAGTTGAGCTGCTTAGAGGCACAGCTAAACTCAAGTTCCAACCCGAAAGACTCAAGGGCACAGTCCCAGCCTAAAGCCGTGGGAAATTGACAGAGTAAACCAAGCTATCTGTGGGGGTCATGCTAATGTCAAGCTCCAAGTTGAACAAAGAGCTCTGAAGAATTTTGAGCATTTATTAAGCACTTAGTAAAGATGGACAAAAGCCTGAAGTCGGGGCCACTCGTTTCCTGAAGAGCATGTTTAGGAATTAAGCCGTGAGACCACCCTCACATCAGCACCACTGGAGTTGGGCTAAGGCAGAAGGAAGTTGGTTCTGGGGGCCCGTTTCACATGGATGTGAAACCCTGTAGCACACAGCAGCAAGGGGGCTGCCTGGCTTGGGATCACGTTCCAGAAACACCCACTAGGTAAGCAAAGTGATTTAAGGTAAAACCCTGAATAGCCTTCAGTGCATTAAAAAAGAGAAAAAAGAGGCTCAAAAAAATGCCCACAAATAAAAAATTCATTTGTTGGTTGTTTCTACCCAGCCCCCGAAAAGACTAGATAGACTTCTGTATGTGTGTGTATATGCATATAATGCTCCCTTTTTGTGTCTTAGGAAAAATAAAAAAGACATGTTTGGAATAGAGCTTTGAAAAGGCTAGAAAGACAGCACTATCAGAGAGCTGCTGTGAATGTCAAAGCAGAACGTGACCCCAAAAATACTCAATTCTAACATGACTGCACTAATCAGGTACTTTGGCCCACATTCATGTATGTGTAGGTTCAAACCTCGGTCCCAGGAAAACAAGTTGAACGGCATCCATAAGAGTCATTGCTGTAGTGAAGGATGTGTTCCCGTATGGGTTCACCCTGAAAACTGCAGGGACCCTGTTTGCACATGTCTAGGGATATTACCATATCATGGGCAGGTGCTCTGGGGCCCTTGTCTGCCAGGATAAGGCCTAGGAGCAGCAGAAGAGATGTCCAAGCACACCGCTGTAGGGTTCTCTCTCTAGAGCTGAAATCTAAACTGGGATCAGAGGCAGGTGAGTGAATTTCAGAAATGTCAAAGCTTCAAAGCTAGGGAACCACAGGACCCCCCACCAATCCTCGGATTCTCTTCCTTAGGATGCAGGATTTCCAAGGCAATTGTGGATTGCTTTCAACTGGAGATCTCTCAGCATCAGGCCTTTGTGCCAGGAAAATGGAAACCCTTTTGGGGTGACAGTTCTGAGTGGTGAGGTCACAGAAGCCCAGAGAAGGGGATTGTCCAAAGTCAGGCTGCAGCTCATGCCATGCCTGCCTTCCTCCTTTGGGCACACAGCTGCTCATGCGCCACTACCAGCCAGAGTCCAGGAACAGTTTGGCACCTGGCTCTCAGCTTGGAGAAGGCCACAGCCTGTAAAGGAGGCCTCTGTAGCTATAGGGGCTTATGCATGACACATCTTAAACACACTTCTATTTTCAGTGGGGCAGCATCTCAAAGGTGGCCGGAAATGCACATAAGGCCGAAGATGCACCATGTATAATTACATGGTGAGGCAACGTTGAATGCATGGCGAGGACATATCAATGTCTGCTGCAGAAGTCACGAACGGGATAGAAAAACCCAGCGAGGACCTAGACCAGGGCCAGCCCCCAGCAAAATGCCTTGGAGTAGCAATAATAATTGCAACAAGGGTACTACTAGTTGAAGCAGACACTTCAGAGCACATCTGGCCTGTGTGCTGAGTGCTGTTCAGGGACTGTCGCCTTTAATTATGATGACAACCCATCCTGGTACTCTTATTAGCCCCACTTTACCTATGAAGATCCTGAGGCACAGAGAGGTTAAGTAGATTCCTAGGGTCACACAGTAAGTAAAAGCTAGAGCCAGAGTGGTTGCTGGGCAGTGTGATCATAGATCTAGGACCAACTATTCAGTAATTGTTGAATGAATGAATGATGCTAGTTACTATGCAGGCAGTTCACATGTATTCAGTCCTCTGACCAGCGTTGGTAGCCTATTCTCAGCCCCGTATTACAGATGGGGACATTGGAGCACAGAGAGGTCAAGGCACATGCCCAAGGCCTCACAGGGAGCAAGCAGGAGCTCCGGAACTGTACTTGTGACTACAGGCCCCGCTGCCCTCTCAGTGGTTCTAAGGACTTCACTGGACTTAGTAATTTCGTCTTTGCCAACATTACTGTGTCTTTGCTTCAAGCACAACCATGGCTGGTGTTGCCAGGTGGGAAAACAGAGGAGAGGAGGGTGTGACAATGCCTTTGTGCTAGTCGGCAGGGAGCCGAGGGCATACAGTGGGGATGAGCAAAGTGCAGATGGAGAGGCGCCTGGAAGCAGAAGCCGTGGGCTTGATCCTAGGTGGAGGGAGGGGGAGGGCAAACAGTCACCGATGCCCACGGTTCTCACTCAGGTGGTCAGGCACCGTTCACCAAGACAGGAGGAAAGAGGCACAGGGGAAAGGGTGAAACATGTTGGTGGAGCCGGGAGGATGAATCAGTGTGGACTGTGTGGAGGGAGGGTCCCTGATGCCACAGGCGGAGGAGGTCATTTGCAGCTACTCCAGGCGTGTGGGACTCGTGGGCCTCGGGACGAGGCTGGATGCACAGGTGACCATCTGAACCTGTCAGAGCGGGAGGAGATGTCCACGGGCAGGCGGTAGGCAGGTGGGCCTCTCCAGGATGGAGGAGCGAGGCGGGCACAGGGCAGGTGGTGGACCAGGTCGCAGAGGGAGCCTGACCAGAGCACTTGCTTGACCATGGCTCCGGCTCCTCATTTTATAGTAAAGATTGAAGGAGGTGATGAGAAACTACTCAGCTATAGTTAGACATGTGATGCAGGTGGCAATGAGGGCCTTGAGGGTACATGCCTGCCTGAGGGCCTCCTGGCTGCCCGTTGCCCTGGACACCCACCTCTGTGTCTTTAACTCGACCCTTGGGCTACAAGCAGAGCAAAAATGAACTCCAGGGGCCGGTGCTCTCGAATCTCCCACCAGCACCTGCACAATAGCAGCTTCCAGACTGAGAAACAGAAAACAGCCAGGAAGTGTTCTCCAGGCAGGAGATAGTATCCTGTTTTCCATACTATTTTTCTCAGAAGGAAGAGAGAACAATACAGGAAAGAATATCAGTAAGAGCAAAAATCAGTACCTTACAGCTGAAGGGCACTGGCTATGGTACAGTTCAGGACTGAGCTCTATCCTGCCCCCACTGTGCCCTGCTTTCCAAGCTGACTCAGCCCTTGCCAGCACCTTACCTTGGGCCAGCTGCCAGAGCTTCCCTGCCTCAGTTTCCCCATCTACACATGGGTGCCATGTTGGTCCTCCTGGGGCTGTCAGCTCCTAGGTGCTTTATATTTATTACCCTGGTTATCCCTAAACAGTCCAGGAACAATGAGATTAAATAAA